TCAACAAGACCCATTACTAACTGTGGAGAGTTGCCACGACATTCTGTACACGACTGCAGAAAGTTTTAACGGTGTAATCGTCAGAGATTATGAAAAACATTTTAAACTAATAATATTGCACACATAATGCAATTATAAGAGAATATCTTGGAGATATTTCTTTCCGAAGTAAAACTGTGGGTCACTAGGACCCATAAAGATAACCGAGAATTAAACTCTATCCAAACATGAAACCAATATCGAGGAAGTCGAGAATAAAATAATTTCAAAATCAAATTTACCTGTCTCAATCTGCACGAGAAAAATTGCGAAAGAAAGAAATAGATTGTTAGCCAGTCTGTAGTCCAAAAAAGAAAAAAAAGTTGTTGTTCCGATGCATCAGCATCGGAGTGCGAACAAAGTTATCAGCGTCACAAGAAAGAAGATTGTGTTTTAAGTATATTGAATTTGACGAAGCTTCGACTGTCTCCATGGCGAAAAATTTATCAAACAAGAGTACGGAAACGCCGTTTAACGAATAGACAGCGTTAAAAGAATGAAATGGCAAGAATTACATATTAGATGGAAAGAGATAAGAACCTGTGCTGTCTGTGTATAAGAAATAATATGGAAGGAAAATGCAGAATATACATCTCGCGTCAGCAAACATGATAGAAGCAGAGCAAGGAAAATTCTATGGCCCAGAATGAAAGTGAATTAGAAATAACAAGATTAAGTTGGTGGCTTCGCTTTCGAGAGAAACGCGTTTGAAGATCCGCTGAATGACACGTGATTAGCCTCGCGGATTTCATCACAGACTGCTATTGTAACTTCCTCTGCTTTTTAGGCCACAGTCCTCGCTTATTTGGCTTATTCGCTGTCAATACTTAATTATTAATTAATTCTTCGAGCTGGGCGATGAACACAACGAACGTAATAAATAAAATTTGGTCTGTTGTTTTAATTGAGACACTGAGAGGGAGAGAGAGTCCGTGTCATGGTAGAGATTGTCTCGACAATCTGTTAGCATTCTACCAATATGCGAGGGAACGTTTCAACTGAAACAATGAAGCGAGTTCGATTAAAATTGAAATGGACTATTCTTCTAGCACGCGTCTATAACGTAATTTCCTTACTCTCAAGTTTCGCCTTATTTTTAACCATATCACTCCTCTCGCTCCGCTTGTGCCACGAATTACGATCCACCCTGCATAAGAAGCTTCCATTCGAAAAGCTGAATCTTCTCAAACGATTCGTACAATGTGCAATCTTTGCATTATTACGTAGAAACAGAAAAGCCTTTATACGTAGTTCAGCAACGCTGTCTATTTCCTGGCAGATGCTTTGTGAGTCCGTTGTGATCAAAAACAGTAGACAGAATAATGGCCAATTGGATAGTTAAACAGAATTAGCATTTGAGAAACAGATAGGCTACAGAAATACAGAGGTTATTCGTGTTCTGACATCGTGAAGAAATGTAATTACTTACGTGAATGATTACACTGTTTAAAACAATTAGAGAATCATCGTTACGAACGAAATGTTTTACTGATGCAATAAACTTGACTGGTGCAGTCAGGCGAACACAAACGAGCAACTCCCGTAAGCTTAGTAGAAATTGACATGTTATTCGTACAATGCTGTAATAAAGATTTACTTTATGATAAACGTTAAAAAAAATATACAAAGTAAAAAAATTATGAGTTACGACTATTTTGGTTAGATCTTATGGATATAGATCCCATACCGACGTATTAATATTCTTTTATATGGAACAACGAGATACCAACGCACTAGGTCCTTAGCTTACTACGTAAGTCAAACTGGAGTTCGTGATAAGTATAAATATAGATAAATGATGAACACAACGGTGGTAAATTTACTATAGAAATAATAATAATAATTTTTAACATCGTTTGTATCTGTTTTGAAAATCGGATTGCCACTGCCGCGATTGATATGGCCCGAACATGACACCATCAGTCCCACTCGTCACGTTAAATACACAGTGTCTCAATAAAACCATAGCGCAGAGAACAGAAGATGGCTGGTGAGGCAGCATAAGGGCAAGAATGGTACTTTGCCCGCTCTACCTCGCTCCACTTTTGAAAGCTGTTCACAGAAGCGTCAATTCAAGGGGCGTTACGAGACATTCGTAATGTTAAAACGCATACGAACAGTTACACGATCTACATCTGTCGAAGTTTACGATCGTGAAATAGCGATAACGGTCGAGGAACATTGTTTAGATTTCACGGCACACTTTGACAATGTCTGTACAGTCAGTGTAAAAAATATTCGTACAGTACTTAACTTCGTTTGTAGAACATCGTTTAGTAACAAAAAAAAAAAAAAAACAAAATGAGAGCACAAGATATGTATGTATTCTTACAAGTCCTCAGAATAATTTTCAAAAAAGAAAAAAGTGCGATACATGTTCCAATTGTGAAGATATTAATAAATATGTAGCGAATGGTAAAAATATATGCGCAATAGATATTCGTACAGTTACCGCTTCGTAGGATAAAATATATGTAGATATTTGAACAGGTGAACTGTATCAAGATGCAGAAAAAAGTGGGTTTGTAAAACAATTTCATCGTGATGCAAAATAACAATTAAAGCATAATACTACTAATACGCGAGCGTGGATCTTGTTTGATGTTTGGAAACACTTGAAAGTACCTTCACAACAAAAATATCGAATCACCGTATTTCATAGAGAAATGATTTAAAGAGAGCTATTTTAGAAGAATGGAAAAATATTTCGAGTAGAGTACTCGTCAATTTGGTAAATTCAATACCACGACGGTTTCGAGCTATAATAAAATCAAAAGAAAACTCCTTAAGTATTGAAATAATTAAATCTAGTGACTCCCTGTATTAGATATTAGATAAGATTTATTCGTTTTTTAAATGTTTGTTAACGTTTTCACGAAGGATATAGAATGCCATCTAGTTGTTTATGAAAATTATTCTGCAGACTAATAAGAATATATACATATTCATGTAGAAAACTTTGTTCATGAACGATGTTCTACAATATTTTTATTGAAATTAATTACGAATACTTTTTACACTGGCTGTATGTAGTTAGAAATGTACGTCGTCGCAGTAGTTATGCTATATTAATGGTTATGACTTTAATTCCAGTCAATATCTTATCGTTTGTAACCTACTTGGTTTTGTGTTTTGTTTACTATTTCCATCGCTTGATGCTATATGACAAACACGCTTAATGACAAATCATTTACCTGCTACCTGAATTCATTTATTTCAAGAGGATGACTGGATAATTCGATAATATCGATTTCGATGATCTTCAGATATGTTAAGCTTATCATTCCGAACAGCTTTCACCTACACAAGTAACCGCCGCTTAGCCTATTCGGATATTCATAAAAATCTTCAATTCAATTTAGTTTCCATTACACTTCACACTCTGCCATATGAGTGACCCTATTTTCACATAGCTCAATCTAAACTCAACTCATTGCTGTTAATCGTCCTTAATACAAATAAAAAAAGATAAATTAATAGGTTATAAGTTGGGTTAGATTAATATTTGCCAAACTAAATGTACAAAGTAATTCAGATGTCCCATAGGTGGCTGCACTGCGCGATGTGACGGAGGATGGTTGTATGTGTATTGAGGACGAGATTACAATAAAGTGAGTCTTGTGAGAGACACTCTTTCTTGGAAGAGACTAAGATTGGAAATATTAAATTATTACCAAACAAAGAGTATTTTTTGGTCTGTTAAGAAAATATATTTACACGTTCTTGAGTTCTTCTATATATACAATATAAGTCAAACCAAATAAAACAACACCAAACTAAAGCCGAGCAGCGGTAACGTATATAAGTAAAAGTTGTTCAAAGTGATGATCTTGACAATATATTATATAACCCAACCTAAATTTAACTCATTGATGCTAATCACCCTTGATGTAATGAAAAAAAATATAATAATATAATAATGAAAGATATATTAATGGGTTATAGATTAGATTAGATATGTATCAACTAAATTATATTGAAGCCAAGCGATGGTAACATGTATGAGGAAAAAGTTGTTCAGAATTATAATCTTGACAACATATTTCTAGGTCATCGATATCATACGTGCGTTGCCTCTTTATAAATAATTGCGGACGGAAATAATAGCAACTTATGAGATAAATTTCAAAGATAGTGTCCCTAACCTCGCCTTTTTCTGCTTTCAAATTTATGTAGCTGATCAATGTGGCTCCTGAACGATTTATGTTGATAGTTGCGCACAACAACAAAGTTCCTACGTTTCACGAATTTTTGTTTTTACGGACAGTTTTATGGTGTGAGAAAGGATGGCTCTATGGTCCATTAAAGTCACTGACACCGTTTTCACGGACCACAATTCACAGAGATATCAGATTTCACCTGGTAAACCACAGCTTTAACTGATTGGCAGTATTAGCACGGAGAAATAAGAGAGGACTTTTTACTTAAGCATGTAGGTATATTGTAGCAAATAATTGATAGCCGGATGCTTTGTGACGTTCAGATTAAGAATACTAGCCTAAAGCTAACACAGATCATAAATTTCATATTGACAAAATTTATTTATCTGTTAGCCACCAGCTTCTGCTCTGTCTTGAGTTTCAGTTAGCGTTTTCAATCCGGCAGCCACAAGGCAGTCAGCCATCAATTTCTTGCAGCGATAAAACTACATGCATAGGTAACGATCATCTCTTATTGTTATATTTTTCCATGTTAATACTGTCTACTGTCGATCAATTCCAGCAGGTCTGGTGTTGGTGAATTCCAGCATTGGCGAAGTCGGTGAATTGTGATCCGCGAAGACAGCATCGGTGATTTCAATGGAACCTGACCTGTGTCACTATAATCAATCAGATCCACATTCCTTGTTCCTGTACAATACGTACGATTATAATCTTGTTCGAGAACATACCAAGCTAATAAATCCAGCAATGGTCAAAGGTAGTTTGTATATATATTAAGAAAAAGTAGCTGCTACTTACATATAATAGCCTGTACTTTGGCCTTATCTAGCGCAGGTTTCACTGGTCTTTCAGTGGCAGTTCCAGCTCGGCTCCATCGTTGTCCTGTGACCGAGCAGGTGGCCAACTCGGTGGGGCTGAACAAAATTGCAGCCAGTCCACGGGTCAATTTTCTGTAATCGCTCCATTTCACAGCCCTTAGTTGTTCCTCGCAAACTGCTATTCCCTCTCCCAAGTGCACCTGTCGAACACATGTTTGTCAAAGTTTCAAAGAAAAAGAAAGCCAACATGTTTATGCTAATTTCTAATCCAGGAAAATAGGTACAAAAATAATACATATAGTATATATATTACAGGTGCAGTGTTTGAGTTCTGCGCGTGAGTCAAAAATGCATGTAGGTGTTGCAAATCGCAGATGCTGTTCTAAAAAAAAATGATGCTTTTGTATTAAAGCAAGGAAGAAATTAAAACATATCTTAAGGAAGGAAAGTTTTAAAGGAACGTAATAGAATTTTCAGATACAGATAAATATAGTGAGTAGCAAAATACAGTGTTCTCTAAGTTAATTTAGTGACGCGATTCATAGTGGAGTATTCCATCTAAAAAAGCTGTTCAAAATTCAAATTTTCAATCTCGTTTAAAAAAAGGGAACAATATTAATATTATTGCAATGAAATGATATGGTGCCCATTTCTGTGACCTTGAACTCTATACGAAGGCAGGAAACCGTATGACAAGCATTCACTTTCTTCGTAAACATATTTTTTTCAAAATTCAATGGAATTTATATATTTTTTCAATGTAAGTATATAGTACACTAATATGAACGCTATGAATAGAGTTTCAAGAGATAATTACATTTTTATAAATAATTAATTTATATTATGTGTCAGGCTCTGTCAGACAATAAGAAATTATGAAATATAGTATGCTATCATTGCATTATATTAAAGTATTTTCATACTCTCTTTTTTCTTTTTAGTTTTCTGCCTTCCTGAAGTGCAATACAATTTTTCTCCTGCAACGTTCTTTCGCTGATTTGCCACTCAGCGATATTTTTTAACAGTAACGAATATTTCAAATTCGTAGAGTTGTTAAAATTACGCTGTTCACAATGTTCTAATGAAAATTTCTACCGTGTTAAAACCCCGTTACATTTATATATATAAATAACAGTTATCGCATTAATAGAAAATTAATCTGCTAGTGTTAAATACAAATTCTTTGAGGAAGGAATAATTGTGAGTCAACGTTATACTCATTTTGATCCTTGAAAGATGTGAAGATAAATAGAGCATTAATTAGGTCTGTCTTGTTTAATAGATTAACATCTTAATAGGATATGAAGGTCACGCTATCTCAAAGTGAAAACCGATATCCTCATCCAGAGAACACTGTATTAATCCTTTCACTATGGAAGCTTATCTGCGAAATTATAATGAATCTGGCACAAATGTTCAATTAATTAAAGCGTACTGAATTAATCAGAATCAGAGTTTTATATAATTGAATGACCGTTTCACATTAATCAGACGATTACAAACGTTTCTAATTTTCTTGCAAAACTAAAAATAAATTTTGGTGCGGAAAGTATAATTCAAAAATTTCTTAACTTCGATATCAAAATACGTAATTAATTCATGTTTAATTACTCAACCAAATTTCCACGGAAATGATCAATTCGATCGTTGAGTGATTCGGTTGAAAACAGATTCACTTGCTAGTTATATATTTTCATAATATTAATTTATATTTAATTTACAGTTTATTTAGATGCCACCAAAGTGTTCTTCGCTCTATCTATAAAAAGACGTAGCTACCATCGCTCGAAAGTATTCCACATAATTTAACTACAATATTACACACAGTTAGCAGGGATTTCGTCTCGAGTACGACAAAGCTACCTATATTAGTATTATTTAATAAGAAGAACAAAGGTATTGGGTTCATGAAATTTTCAAACGACAGAACAATCACGCGTTTGATATTCCGTCTGCTGTTACAGTTCACGTAAAAATTATATGTTCTTTATTTATAATTTTATCGTAAATTATTCGTTTGGTAAATTAACAGTAAGAATTGTACCATTATCTGTATATACTTGTACAAACGATTATTCGTATTATTCGAATAATTCTGCGCTCGTTATTCGAATAAGTGCATGAAACAACTGATTACGGACAACGAATAATTACTTCACTGACAAAATACTCGACTAATATGAATTTATCCCGATAGTCTTGGATAAATATTCATTTGAAACGATTCGAATAATGAACAATTCGCGCGACTCTGTAACTGTAGAATTTATAATTTAATGTAAAATGTAACTGGAGAATTAATAAAGTTGTACTATTAATAGGAACCTACCAAACTATCCAGATATTTCCGAGCGATAATGTACAGAGGTATTTTCAGTTTAACCGTTTGCTGGCCAACTCCGCCGTAGCGGAAGAGTTAAAGGTAACAGTAAATAGAAAAATAAGGAGAAGATAAACATGCAGTGAGTGAAGAAATAAATATATAAGAACCATGGTCCAAGGAAAACAAGCAAAAACAGTAAATAATGTACAGTACATAAATACACAGTAAATAACTGTAAAAGTAGATAAATTGCTGTGAACGATAAGAAGGTAAGAAAATATAAAGTCTGCACAGTTAGATCAATAAGTGTGCAGACGACTATGAAAATGGTGTAAAATTGAAAGAAGTTGAATTTTTGTTTTTGCATGACAAATTTTTCACTCGAGTCACTTCCGGCGTCACCGACGCAGACGCGGAAGCAAAAAAATTGAATGTTGAAAGAAAATTAGTATTTCAAAGTGTTAGAGGATGCAAAAACACGAACGCGAGACTCAAGCAACTTGAGTCAATAAATTATTACAGCTCTTTAAGACAAGCGGATAAGGAAAGAACGTGGAAGACAGATAACTGCCTTTAATTAAGGATGATAAAGAAGAAAATAATTTCTGGAATAATTTGGAGTGAAACAGCCTCAGGGTGTATGATATTAACAATTAGCAAGCGCAGAAAAAGATTCAGTGAAAATAAACAGAAGCAAAGCGAAGGAGGAAAATGACACGGCAATTTGCACGTATATTATGCTAGCTAGATTATGCGCCAATTAAATATTCTTCTTGGCGCTGCATTATAATGTAGGTAAATTAATTCCTTTACGTAGCATATGTGACGACAACGTTTTCATAAAAAACTAGTTGAATTATTTCAGAAAAGGGATACTCTTAAGTGAACAAATTACGTTAAGAATATTCGCAAATCAGATAACAGGTTGGCTTTTCTACTTAACAGGTTAAGAAGAAAGACAGTCGTTTAAACGAAAGGAAATGTCTTTGAAAATTTTGTGAAAATATACAGTGTGTCCAGTTTATCTCAAAACATGTGAATGATGAAGATATGAAAAAAACTTTTCAAACAAAAATTCCACGATATCGAGGAGAATATACTATATAGTCTTGTGTATTTGACCTTGTAGTGACCTTGAAACTCTCTACGTTAAAATTGTCTAATGGATAGCTTTATCTTGCAGTAGATTTTCTTGTAACTGGAATTCAGACGTTTTCGAAACACTACAGACTCGTGTCTTTTGCACCAGGTTTCAAGGTCGAATACACCAGAGTACAGTAAACTCGCCTCGATATCCCGCAACTTTCGTCTGGAACATCTTTTTGCATATTCTATATTTTTCGGAATATTTTAGGATAATTATTGTTCAGAGATATTATTATACAGTTTATGTAAATATTTCTATATATTTCTATATATACTTAATAAATTTCTGTATAATTATATAGGATTATAAAAATCATTCGGAGATAAACCGGACACACTGTATGTAACTTTAACCAATATGTAAAATAATTAATAAAACCGACAGTGCAAGGTATTTTGTAGAAAACGAAAGACAAGCATATTCGCGCCTGAATTTCACTTGAAAGTCCGTCGTCGAACGCGGTCGATCGTTTTGTTCGAAAGTGTACGAAAGTTTTCGAGAGGCAAGTTAAATGACGAAATTCGCGTGATTTATCGTTAAATGCGTTTCCCAGTGTCTAACGGAAATTTATTTTCGTTTTACCGTAGTCACCATTTTTCTATTGAAACAGGTATGTAGCAACTAAGTTGCAAAACCAATAAATGAACACGCGCTGAGTGCGCGTAAGTGGAACGTGTCAATGATACGCGCAACATTGCCTCTCTATAAGACAACGTAAGTAGTGCTCGAACGCATAAACCAGGATTCTTCCAGATAAAAGAATGAATACTTTTATAAAAACGAGATCTCGAATATTCCGTATCATTGATTTATTTTATTAATCTGCATAGATCATTTGAAATTACTGCGGTCGTATTCCGTATCATTGATTTATTTTATTAATTTGCATAGATCATATGAAATTACTGCGGTCGTATAAAAAACTGGGCTAAGACTGGGTTAACAATGATGCGAGCTTGAATGAAATGAACGAGGAGAAAAAATATAAGAACAATGGAAATTTACCACGCCGTCGGAAGAGGACTCCTCGAAACCACGGAAAGCAGGCATCGCAGCAGGAGGTGTAGTTCTCATATCCAAGGGTAACCATTCACTCCTCGATGGCGAATTACCCTGTACAGACGGGGATCCATGTTTTCCACCCCTTGTCCCAAGCCGCGGCCTGCC